AAGTTTTATTTCTTGATAAACCAAATTTTCAAAAAATATATTCTATCCTCCGGACAACTTTAAACCTATTTTTCAACTTAAACAAATGTGAAGAAGACATGATCTTTCTAAACCCAATCCTCTCTCTCCTCCCAACAACCTCTCATTTCCATGAAGCCCTTCTTTCTCTCTACAAGTTTGGGAGGATAGCTTTTAAAAATGCATGTCTTTTTAAATTTGTTTGGCTTAAAAATGCAGGTTTAAATTAGCTTAGGGGGTTAGAAGAAATAAAATCTACAATTTTTATGCTTCAATATAACTTTTAAAATCTTGGGTCTATTGTGAAATGAAACTTAAAAATAAGGGGTATAGAGATATTTTTTCTCTAATATATAATATAATATATATTATATATTGTACATATGATATATATTTATTACAATACATATGTAATATACATACTATTCAAGGTTTTGTATAAAATATTTTCACACCAACCAAGTGCTACCAAACATATGAAACTGATTATACAATACTTTTTAAATGTGCCACCAAACATCGAAAAAAATATGCATATGCAAATATTTTGCTATAAACTGTTTACGAATGTAAATACTTTACCTATGTAACTTTTTACACATACCTTTAGATCCTAGAAACCATGATCTTAGATCTAGGCTACAAAACATAGCACAATTTTAATCCATTTTCATCTATTCATAGCTAGGACTTTCAATGAATTCCAAAGTTCAAAGAAAAGAAGAGAATGAAAGAAGCTTAAATAACTCGTGATCCTGATATGGATGACATCCTCAACTTTTGGCATCTCGTGCCAACTGGCTAGGGAAGGTATTCATTTCTCTTGTCTTCATTAGTTTTAATTATTTTAGTAAGATTTGATTTGCAGTAAATTTCTTTTATTTTGGCGAGAAGACTAAACTAGCACTGTCGGCAATCTAAAAGAAAATGGCCCATATAGGTTGATGAGTCCTTAGATTGCAATTTGACCATTCCCCAAGAATCTCTATCGTGATTTTTAACTAGCTAGTTTTATAGCAACTGATCAGGGGATTTCAGCTTGAAATGTTCTCGATTTAGTGCTTTAAACAAAAGTGTGTTTTTATATATAATATAATAATAATAATTAATAATTAAAAAAAAGTAATTTTGTACTTCGGCCGAAGAGGTTGAATCTAAAGTAGGCAAAAGCGAAGCACTATATGCTTTAGGTCGAAAATTCAAAAGACTTTTAAGTCCTTTCAGAAGCAAAGAGAATCTGATATCATCTCTTGCAACCCTATCAAAACATTTTGCAAACATTTATGGTGTATTTTAGACAGTTTTTTCCATTTAAAGTATTTTTTTGTGATTTTTTGTTGGGTGCACCATGTGTTGATTTATTCACATTTTGATCTCAATATGATCTATTAAAATAAAATAAGAAACCTACTAACTTTATAGCCCTTATGATAAGGTTTAAAGGATCATCCACCCCCATGCCCGCTAGACCATCCCTTCCATAAAAAGGAATAGAGGGGTCAAAAATCCTAAAAATAAAATGGGAATGATTTCTCCAAGGGAAAATACCAATGGAGATTCAGTGCATTTTGGATTTTGGTTATTAAGAGATGTATAAGCGCCATTTGGTAATTAAAAAAAAAAAAAGAACTTTTTTTTTTTTAACGGCGTTTTCGTAAGTTGCCTTGATGAGCTCTGCATAACGGCTAGTACACTGGTCCGCTAATTCCAAGACATGGAGGCCCAAAACCCTAACGGTCATATATCCGTTGAGGTTGCTTCTTTTAAATTTAGTCTGCAACCCTCTCTTTCTCCATTGCTTCTTCTTTTGCTTTCTTCTCTTTCCACTTGAGCTTTCTACTACAACATCATCTCCTTCTTTTCCCCTTCATCTAAATCGTTGTTTTTGTATTCTCTCACTCTCTCTGTCTCTGTGATTTTTCGTGGCCATTCAGAAACGCCGATGGACACCCCATCCTCTATCAGACGGGTTACACGATCTCAGACAAGGGCTGCTTTGAATTCATCTTCTGCATCAAGTGAGATACCATTCAACTCTCTCTCTCTCTCTCTCTCTCTCTCTCTCTCCTTTGTATCATGCTGAGATTCTTTCCTGATAATATGTTCAAACCCACATACAAAAAAAGAAAACCCATATTTTCTTGAGGTTTCTCTCTCTCGAGATTCTTATATCTGAGGATGAGAAAACCCACAAGTTCTTGAGGTTTCTCTCTCTAGAGATTCTTTCATCGGAGAACAGGAAAACCCATAATTTTTTGAGGTTTCTCTCTTTATAGATCCTTTCATCTGAGAACAGGAAAACCCATTGTTTCTTTACCTTATCTAACATCTTTCTGCCCTATATCTTATTTGTTTCAGAAACAGGGGATAATCCTCCCAAATTCAGAAATGGCAGCGGAAGAAATGGGGATCGAGCAGCTTTGATTGACATAACAAATGATTCACCTATTGTGGGTTTAGCACTTGGTTTGAGCAAAAACCAAGAAACCCCTGCTTCGAGTACAAAGAGACGTAATCCATTAAAATCAATAATGAAGACCCCTGGTTCAGGAGAAGCCCTTCTTCGATGCCAAGTGAGATCCCTTTTGCAGAGGGTTGAAGAAGAAGGCAGCCCGTTCAATGTGGGTTCAGATAACCTGCCCCCACTTCGCCTTCAATCACTCTTTGTTTCTCCCTCTAGGCTATTGGCACCAACTCCTGCTAATACACCACAAGTTCCAAATTTATCAGCGGAGATTACTGGTGATAATGGTATTCATCTTGGATCTCTATCCATTGGCTTAGCAGCCAAAGAAGAGCAAGAATATCAGCTCTCTGAGGTTAGCATCTATTCCTTTTTATTGGAGTATTTGTTGTGAAACTACTTAGGTTGTATTTATTTTTCTGTTAACTGTTAATGATTTGCAAATCTGTTATTCTCTTTTCTGAGTATTGAGGTTGTGTAAGTACTTGGGTTGTATTTATTTTGCTGTTAACTGTTAATGATTTGCAAATCTGTCATTCCCTCTGAATTTAAATATGGATCATGTGATTCATTTGTGCCTTCCAGAGCTTGTCTTATCATTTTGATGGTATTTAATCTCCAATTTAACTTCCAACATTTGTTTTTTTTCCCTGAAATTCACTGTGAATAATCTTATTTCAATGTAACAGGATATTGCTGAAGATAGTTTTTGTTATTTGGGTTTGCACTTATTTCACAAACCTTTGACGGGAATACTTTTTTGCCAGATTGGTCATTCAGTTGTATTCAATTTGCAATCCTTTTGTTTCAATCCTTTCTACATAATCAGAGCATTGTGGATTGGCTGGCTTGCAAGTCTTTGCATCTTCTTTCCTCCAATTTAATACTTTTTCTATTAAATTGAGAAGCACAAATACTTCTGTGGTTAAGTGGATAGGATAGTTCTATTAATGGTGCTGCTTCTTTTTACGTGGGCCCTGCAGAGGCTAGTGTCTTTTTGGAAGTCTTGGATTCTACTTTTCTAAAATTGAATATCGATGGTATTATTTCTTCTGATCTGTGTTTTGCAGAGGGCAGTTTTTACAGCTGGTTTTTAATCCGCAAAATCCTTTTCTTCAACAGGTCTTGCAGAGGCTAGTCTTAGGTTGGGCTGCCTGGCATGCAATTCTTTTGATTCTTCTTTTCTCAAATCAAATACATCTTTGGGTTAAGGGAATTACTTTTTTCAATGTGTCTTTGCCAAAGGAAGTTTTGAATTCGCATTTTTCTTTCTCTGAAAGTAAGTATGGATAGTTATTTATGTTGGTCTATGTCTGTTGTCGTATGGATAGTTTTGCCTTTAACTATCTGAAATTTATATTATCTAATGTCATTTCAATGCCAGTGGGTCTTGTAGAGACAGCCTGTTTTATTTCAGGTGGTGTTCGAGCTTGCACTGTTTTCTTCTTGACTGTTTCCCCCTTTTTTGAAATTATATTTTGTGGATGAATTGATTAGGTGGTTGATAGCTTGACCCAAGACTCTATGGTGATGGATTCTCATGAAACTCCAACAATTACCAGAGCATTACTGTTTGATTCCCCGGGAAAACAAGGAGACAGATATTCTATCTCATCCTCTCCTCACTCTGTGATAACATGTGAAGAGGAGATATGCAAGCAAAACAAAGCAACAATGGATGATGATAGTTCAGAGTGGTCTGTTGAGGTTCACGTAAGCTCGCCAAATGGTGATCTTGAAGAAAAAGAAGAAGATGACGAGGAAGAAAGGGAAGAAGAAGAAGAGGAGGAAAAGGAGGATGAAGGGGATGGAGAGAGAGAGGGTAAAGAGATTGATGATGATTTGTGTGCAGAATTGTGTGAAGAGCTTAGTAAGATTTGTGTTCAGGAGAATCGCAGGCTCCCAAAACCTATGGGAAAGCACACTCGCTTCATTTACAACAGCAATGATGAGATTGAGAGAGAGGAAATTGTGAATCAAGATGCTGATTTGAATGTCCTGCATTTGAGGGGCATTCCGACACCAAAGGGAAAACATCTTCGCTTTCCTGAAGATGAAGACTGATCTCAAGAGTAATAATATCGAGGGCATCTTCACTTTGCTTAAGAGTGATTGAAGTTTGTTTGTGACAAGAAAAAGCATTATAAACGTCTTCTTGACACCCATTTTGTTGGGGTTTGGAAATTTTAACAGTTTCTCTTTCCTTGTTGCATTATAAGTGTCATCTTGACACCCATTTTGTTGGGGTTGGGAAATTTTAACAGTTTCTCTTTCCTTCTTTTTTTTTTTTTTTTTCTGCTTTTGCAGTTTCCATTTTAATGCAATAAGCTGATTTTGGGTCCCCCATTGCATAATGAGAGAGATATTTAACAAAATCAATATATACTTTGGACCATTCAAATGTTTATTTTTGTAACCCTTCCTTCAAGAATGTTTACAGAGTTGACAAATTTCTTAAGAATATGTATATGCTTGGCAATCTATACATCAATAGGAAATTCATAAAGTTTTTTCACTTGATTTGTTGCTACTAAATAGGAAATTCATAAAGCTTTTTTACTTGATTTGTTGCTACTAAAATTTTATCTATAGTCATCTTTTGTGAAAGGGATGGCTTTATACTAGGCTCCTTGCAAGAATCCCTTCAAAAGTAATTCCAGGCCCAAAAGCCAAAATGAGGCCCCACTCATTTTCTCTCTCCCCTGTATCTCGCATCTTCAAGCTCTCCTCCATCATGAACTCCAATACATACACAATGGTGTTACTACTAACATTTCCATAATCCATTAAAGCCCGCCTACTTGCCACTAACTTCTCAGGTGTCAAATTGAGCCTCTTCTCGAGCCTGTTGAGGATTGCTGGCCCCCCTGGGTGAACTGCCCAAAACATCTCATTATATCCCTCCTCTCCCAAGCCCACCTTTTGCATCAGCTTTAAACAGAATGCCTCGATATAATCCTCGATAATTTGTGGCAAATCTCTCTCTATCTTGAAGTTTATACCTAGCAGAACAAAATCATAAGAATTGATTATTTGTGCCTCACTGAAAGCTTGAGATGTTTAGAGATTGGTTGCAGAAGAAGATGGTGCTTTTAGGCACATGTGAGATAATCAGGGGTAGCCTCAATAAATGTGAGATGTGAGAGAATAAAGTACTTGATAGGTTTAAATGAAGATTGTGTCTACAGAGAAGAAAGCAGTTGTGAAAGGATTGGTTTTCAAAACAGAAGTAAAAGTCAGTCGTACAAAATAAAATCCGAGATGTGAAAAAAAGTCCATTGTCATACATGATAAAATCCGAGATGTGAGAATGGTTTAAATGAAAGGTTGAAATGTGAGATCATGTTGACAAGAGAGGTAAGAAAGGTTGGAATTCAAAGTTCATAATGTTAGAATGGTAAGAAAGGTTGGAATTCAAAGTTCATAATGTTAGAATGGTTTGAATATGAAGATCATGTTGGCAGAGAAGAAGTAAGGAAGCAGTAATGAAAGCTTTTGGTATTCAAGTTCACAGAATTCAACCTTCTTAGATTAGGGACAATTCAAGGTCACAATTGCTACTAAAACTCAGATATGAGAGATCGGTACATGAAGTCGGACAACTTGAGAGAGATAAAAAACATGACACTTGGGGGTCACAATTGCTACTAAAACTCAGATATGAGAGATCGGTACATGAAGTCGGACAACTTGAGAGAGATAAAAAACATGACATTTGGGAGAATGGTTATGAAATATAAGATAGCACTTGACTGTGATGCGAAAGAATGTTTTGTAAAATAAAATACTAGGAAAAGAGAAAGAATGGCAACAGAAAATAATATAGAATCCTTGCAAAGTAAGATTATTGGGGGTGTATAACTTGAAAATATTGGAGTTCAACTTCAATTTAATTTTTTTAAAATTGTTCATCATAGTGAATTTAGTGCAGATGAAAAACTTAATGTCAAACAAGTGCTCTTAACATGGTTTTTAAAGGTATATATGTATAATTAAATTTAAATTTTTTTTTAATTGTTCATCATAGTAAATTTATTTAGTGTATATTAAAAAATTAATGTCAAACAAGTGCTCTTAACATGGTTTTTAAAGGTATGTTTCATTATATTACTAGAAGATAGACATGAAATCGCTCTCATTAAGAGAGATAGATCAGAGAGAGAGAAAGAGACGATGCTAAATTACCTTCTTCAGTAAGCCGGCCATCAATGATCTTCTCAGTCCCTGGCAAGAAGTGCTGAATCGCAGTATGAAGCTCGAACAATGGCTTCTCTCCTTCAATAGGATTGGTCCCAAGAATCATGGCTCCAGCCCCATCTCCAAAAAGAGCAGCACCAACCAGATCATAAGGCCTGCTGGCACTAGGAGGCTTAAACCCAATAATTGTGGTCTCAGTAGTTGCTAAAAGAACTCTACTTCCTGGATTGTTCTCGGCAATATCTTTAGCAACTCTAAGCCCTGCAACTCCACCCGAACAACCCATAAAGTAAAGCATGACCCTGTTTGCTTCTGGATTTAGGCCTATTCCCCGTGCTAAATAGATATCACCACCTGGTAGCCTTGCTTCACTCGAAGAAACATAAACCAAGTGTGTTATATCTGAAACAGGCCTACCCCAGTTCTTGATACAGGCTTTTGAGGCCTCAATTGCCATTTCTGTGACTGCTTCATTTGAGATCGAGAGCCTTTGAGATATAGTGGGAAGGCCTTCGAGTGCAAGCTCCGGGTACTTCTTTAATATCTCATCGGACATCACTACATATCTCGTCTTCACAGTCGTGGTCTTACCTGCAAGAGAAGGGAGGAAAATGAGTCATTGGGTCAGATTTTTCCAATGGCTCCCAAAGTATTGTAAAACATTTATCAAATAAGATTGCTCTCTCTCTCTCTCTCTCTCTCTCTCTCTCTCTCACACACACACACACACACAC